TTATCTTTGTATCTTTGGGAAGCATTTAACGTCAAGTAAGGTGAGGCGTTCCAATCGCACCACCGACCATGCCAACAACAGGCGAGAAAAATGTCAATTACATATCCATTTCGCCGCACAGGTACGCCAAGAAATGTGCTTATTATCTACCTGGTGGCACTTCTAGGACTAAGAGACGGCTTGTTCGGAACGTCCATTTCTCTTGGGGGGGGGGAACAATGTGAAGGAAAGTTTCATTTTTGAGAACAAGTCAGCTCCGCTCATAACTGCCATACCCGATTAGGGCGGCGACGTCTGACCTCCTCAAAAGCAGTTCGCGCCGCGTTGGTGCGCGTGGTATCGACCATTTGCTGTGTTGAGCTCGCAAGTTTTGACAAGCAAACCGAGTGGGCAGTATTTCATATGCATCTTATCGACATGATGTAATTATTAGTGCGTGGGCAAGTGTGCCGACCAATGATGGAGCAAGAAATTTGCGGAGGAGAGGGTCAAAACGTGTCATATGGATCCCTTTTCTTGCATAGCGGTGCTGTGCTTGGATTTGGGAAGCCTTTTTTGTGTCTGGATTCTATTTGTATGCACGGCGAGCCGTTTTTGTGTGTTTTAGGACCTTTGGTCGCAGAGGACCCGCAACCTCCAAGGACCAAAGGCCGAAAAGCCACCATTTGGCCCCGCCACTGCCAGTGGCGTACGCAGAATTTCGCCCATGGGAGGTCAGATCGGATCACATTAAGCCCTTTCAGCCAAGGGTGCCAACTCGTCGTCGGTAAGTTCATGGACTTTGTTGTTTCCATTCGGGGGCCCCTTTTAATCTTGCGATCCTATTGCAATGCATCGCCACCATGCTTTTACGTCTGAAATACTCTAAAACACTTAAATTTCCAAAAAGCACTGAGTTCTTTGGCACCACTGGGTCCTGCTACCTGCGAGAGGGGTCAGAATTCCAAGAGCTCTTCCCTCTTGGCTACGCCACTATCCCTTCCGACGTTGAAGAGCGTTTTCAAGGAGTGTTACCCGGGGCACTTGCCCCCCCCCCCCCCTCCTCCGCCCTCCCTTATGCATGGATCACTTGCCCCCGCCCTCCGTCCCCCTTGTTAGATGTATAAACGATGTATGGCAAAGAGAGTGAATCGCCGATCGCACCCATCAAGCAAATACGCGATTTGCTAGCCACCCAGAAAGGAGTGCCAGAAACTCAGGAGTACCAGAAACAACGTTTGTGTTCCTAACGGTTAGCTCCGTAGCCGTTAGCCCCTTAGTGCACGCCAGATGCCCAGCAGCGCTGATCAAAAACATGCTTGTACACCTTGCTCGTCTGTCTTATTGATATGTACCCGCCCACTTTTACAGCTCGGACCGCCCGCGCTCTCACCGCTCATTCACAGTCCGGCTGAAAGGCATCACGCTGCATGCTAAAAACGCAAATGCAAATCGATACAGCTGTAGTCAGGCATGGGGACGAAGCCAACCTTCTGGCTTCAAAACCGAGTCCAAAGTCAGGCCAACGATAGGAAGCCAAAATCCAAGTCGAAGTTGAAGGCTTTGGAGTTTGAAGCTGAGGGGCCGAAGCTGACCCCACTGGCATCGTGTTTTTTTTTACGAAAGCCGAATCCGAAGTCACAAGCTTTAAAGTTTGCACGCGCGAAGACGAAATCAAAGTCGGTCGCTTCGAGCTTTGAAAGCGCGGAGCCAAAGCTGAGCACCAACCAAAACCAAAACGAAACCAAAACCAAAGCGAAAGACCAAAACCAAACCAAACCCATCCTCGCTCACGCTAAAACTCTATGCGGTCAGAAAATATTATCAGCGTTTTGTGTCATTGGGGCTTGGCAACGCACTGACCTGCTGAGACTGCGTGCCGTTGCCTACCTCTCACCCTGGCAGGAAAGGGCGGGTACCGCTGGGATTCGAACCCCGTACCTCTGGTTTCAGAAGGCCCAACGGTTAACGCAGACGCTTTAACCACCTCACTACCGGCACCCTATCAGTGTTCTCCAGAGCAATTGAGAAGGAGCACATAAGATGTATGAGCTGGTGCACGACGTGCATTGCATTACGAGTGCAACATTTTGTTCTCGGATTATCGACCTCGCTTTTTGTGTTAGTTTGTACACAGAGCTTTGGACAGTTAGTTCCTCGGCCATCGGCAGGTGTTGCTGGTCCTGAGAATGGCTGGGTGGTTTACGGCTTTCAGCAAAGCATGCGTCGTGGCGTTGAAAGTTCTGCAGTGTATTGGGGTGACAGGATGGTAAAGACCTGCTCATGAAGTAAAATCAAGACTCGGGTAAAAAATGGTGCCAAAATCGAAGCACATCTTCCAAGATCGTACGAAGCCGAGGCCGAGGCCATAATTCAAAATTTGCTTGAAACCGAAGCCGAAGCCCACTGGGCGTTATATAGCCAAAATATACGCAGCCGAAGCGCCCGAAAGTTCAGATAACTAACGGAAGCCGAAGCCGAAGCCAGCTGATAAAAATGGCACAAACCCAAAACATAAGCCGAAATCAACCGTTCTTCCAGACGAAGTTGAAGCCGAAACCGGCTTAAACTCCATTCAAATGGAGAGTGTGGAGAGTTGTAGTAGTTTTTACTTCACGCTCCCTTATCTCATGTTACTAAAGATAGCGCACAGTTGTTAGTACGTGCAGACGGCTATATCTTTCAGGTACATATGAATAGGTAAAAGTTTATAGAGCACGTCTTCGTTTTTTATTTTTTACTTTCATGTTTTGGTACATGACGTCTGAATGAGCCCCTTTTAAAAGGTACGACATGCCCCATCGTAGGAAAATTGCATGAGATGATGGGGGAAGTTATATTGATCCTTTGCATGCAGTAAATCGCATGGCGAGCGAGCTGAATGCGTTGCAACATGTAAATAAGAGACTCCCGTCTTTGCTGTTTCGTTATCTGCCGCGATCACATGACAAGCTTCTGCGCTTTCTAATTAGTGTGTTTATTTTACAACTGCTGCCACCTTGGTTTCGGCTGCTTATGTAGGAATTGTGGATGTTCACAGGTGCTGTAAAGGTTGACTTATTGTCTGGACAACAGAAAGTCACGGCAAGAATGTCAGTCAATCATTGACAGAATAGCAGTCATTGGCATGATTGTCGATACATTGAAGCCCTGATACAACATGCCCCACGCACAGATGATACAACATGCGCCGCCCGACATCCTGGAAGAAAGTTTAGGCCGCCCCGAAATCATTGGCAAGGAGACGCCAAATGTTTGCCGGGCATATGCAGCAAAGGCATTTCTCACCACTCAGAAGAGGATTCAAATAAGTCTGATTATTCGGTAGGACCTTAAGCATACATTGCCACCGATCACTGCAATTGTCAGCAATGTGAAAAACAAAGATTGTCGTCCTCAATCCAAGACACGAACACATGTGCAGCTGGCACGATACTGAAAGATACATGACGCGGCTGTGCTTCAAACAAGTGACTCAAGTTCGGCATCTGTCGCACGTAGTCGTAGTAAAACACCCTCAGATATTACTTGGACATGATACAACTCATACACCTGCCCACCCCCCTACAGATGGTCCGAGCCGCGCTCGCGGTCAGCCGCATTCAAACGTGCCATCATTCTGCTGCTTACGCTCATCTGGCACATTTGCCATGGACCCAATTCAAATTATGATACCCGCCTGTGCACATCGCGGAAACCGGCCAGAAGCTCCACATGCATCGGAAAATTGGGTATAAGTATGACAAATACGTAAACTGGACTATTTTCCAAAAAGGCATTTGGAATGCCGTGCATGAGATCAAACATTACCTTTAGCCAGCGGGGACAAAAAAGTTGAGGAAACCGTTAATTTCATCGAAAAAGGGGAGCAAATCTGCCCGTTATTCTCTTTACACCGGAGCCCTAGTGTTGAAAACCTGTAGTGGTGACAACTGGTACGGTTTTCAAATAGAGACGACTGAAATACGCGGTAAATTCGCAGGAATAGGATCGGACGCCTTTGTTTAGAATAGTGCAATGCACTCATTTCCCCTACCTCTTAACAAGCATGTGAATAACTGCGAACTAAAAATCGAAGTAGACACCTTAAGGTCAGTAGGTTGAAACCGCGTCATGTTATTGTACGTCGTGCAATAACTATTATGCGCATGCAGCGCGCAATTTTCCAGTGAAAATACTGTTGTTCCCTGTGGCAAAATTCTGCACACGCACCTGCGATCACCTCAACCGACTTAAGCCAAATAGGACCACCGTCGTTTATAATCACCGCAGGCCCCATCGACGCCGCGTCGTGTTCCCGGTCCCGGTCCCCGCCTTTTACCGATCCTCAGCGTTCACATCGATTTTTGCAGGTTCCGACCACCACGCGAAGTGGGCCGCGATGTTTCCTCGGTGCAAAAATAAGTAGCCGTTACCATCAGCCGGTTATCGCAAATTTCCTGATGCACCTTAAATAATCCCCGCACTTGATCGCTCGGGAATCGCTTAAATCCCCGTTTCACTTAACCACCACGCCAGTACCACCGACCAACAAGGCCGTGCCGTGCAGTCGCGTCCCCGCCCTGCCGCATCGCGTCCGATGAAGGAGGTCCCTGGACAGCGTATGTTCCCCGCCCACCGCACGACGCGACCGGGAAACCCGGCCCCTTCACTGGCGCTGCGCAGTCATCAGCGTTGAGTCCGCCCCCTGGCCGGCCTCTACCGGATTTTAGGCGGTGCCGAAGGACGAAGTGGGTGGGACAGGGGACCGCGCCTATCCACTTTCACCGTGCTCGAGGCTCGCTCACCAATCACAAACAAGGGGACTGAGCTTGCTGGCACATGTAAGCATGCGCAGAAAGTAGTGCCAACTATTTCCTAAGCAGCTGGAAAAATATTACAGTTTGAGCTATTTTGAAACAACAAAAGGGAAGGCAAACAAAACTTCAATGCTTTTAACTGCATAGAAATGTCAGAAAATCCACATGTAAGAACTGTCCAGTTCGTTGACGCCCGCCCTTCCTCCAAACTGGGATGTGCTTACGGCGTGGTGAGATGTGTGCGTAGTTCCGGCCGTTTCGGCGTGGGGCTGTAGGGTCTCGCTGGGTGGTCGTGCCGGCAATTGGGGAGGGAAGTGGGATCTGCGGCCGTCTTAACTCAAACGTAAGTGTGTTCATTTACAATCTGAATTATGCTACGGTTTGGGTGGCAGGCTGGTAGGCATGCACCTATTGAGCGTCGAGAACGTCTCATGCCTGGTTTGTTATGCCGTTCATTCTTGGCCCCGAATGGAAACCTGTACTCTTAGCTTTAAGATGATAATTTTGGAAATCATATTCTTCGTGCGGGGCTTTAAGGTGGTCAGCTATGGAGCTCTCACACATTTTCTAAACTGTATGTCAAAGTTTTATATCCCATACCAAGTCAACAAGTCACATTGCATATTTTTTGTTAAAGTGAGCCAGTAACTGTGGTTAGCAGGGCTGATAGTAGAGGTCAACCAGGTTGTGGACTGCTGTGATGGTGGAACATAATTTGTCCACTTTTGCCTGATTTGGTGCTGTCAGCATGAACATAAGCACATGCTTCTGATGCAATCATTTGCTCTGGGTGCAGAAGCCAAAGGGGCCAGGACCTCCCAGCTTTATGAAAATTTGCTAGTGACTTTTTCAGTAATGATGGAAAAATAGAAAGAAGTTGTTCTATGTCCCAACTTTGGAAAATTATCTCAACTTATGGTTGGGCTCTGTCCCATCATCTTTGACCCTTTCTTATGATTTAGAAATGACAGGTCGTGAGCACAGATCCACCATTTTTTTGGTAATGGATGAATCACATAGATGATAGTTAGATATTTTTCCTTAGATTTAGTTTCCTTTCATTTAGATAGATATAAGGTCAACGCCATTCAATAAGGCTTGTTTAGTCCTGGCACGCTATCCTGCCTTTCCAATTTGGCCTCCTCTTGGCTTGGGTGTAACCAGCAGTAATGTGGTACCTTGGCAGTATGTAAATTTTGGGCAGGTTTGACTATTCATGTGTGAGGCACAGGTCTTGATTCCCTGTGGTACCCACCCAACAACATTTTGCATGGCCCTTTTGGATGAATTGAGATATCCTGATAACCAACAGGGCCTGATGTCAGAGATCTAGGATCTCTGACAGGTAAGGGTGTAGAAAGGCAAAATATGTTAAGGGATGAGCAGGGTGAAATTGCTACACCTTTTCTCAAGTTATGAGGGTAGTTTTAGTTAAGAGGCTTCTCCTGTGATATAATCCCCCCCCCCCCTTTCTTCTCAAAGTTGGAGGACTGGAGCATATTCAAATGGAAATTGCCTACATCACCATGATTGTGCATCACCTATGCAATGCCTGAGGGGTTCAAAAACAGGTTTTGTGCAAAAGATTGTATGCAATCTATGCATTTATTTCAGTTGGAAGCAATGTATGGTGCTTGTCCAGCTATGACACTTCAGAAAATTCCCGCTTGCATAATTATTAGGATTAGGATGTACATCATTTTGAACATGACAGGTCAGTTATGGAAGGCCCACAAGCTGCCCCACCTCAGGTTGTAGGGCTATGACCATTATTTTTATGTTGCTTTGGTGTGTACCTATTCCTATTTCCCAGTAAGCTTGTGCAAGCCATGCCAACCATGATAGTGCTATATAGCCATTATAGTTTGCATGCTCTTAGGCCCAAATCATTATTGTGCAAACCATTGATGCCAAATCCAGGTTAAATTGCAATAATAAGGACATCATGTGATGTGATCAATTTGCAGGTATGTCTGACTGACATTGGGCTTGTTATTTCAGTTGTGAGGGGGCTGGATTTCACATCAAAATGCCAAGTACCTCCCAAACCAGTCCTCAACAGCAACAGCAGCAGCAACAGCAGCAGCAACAACAGCAGCAACAGCAACAGCAGCAACAACAGCAACAGCAACAACAGCAACAGCAAGCACAGCAGCAACAACAACAGCAGATCATTGCATCATCTGGAGTCCCTATCACATTTGATGGACAGGAGGCCACATTCATTCCAGCAGGGGCTCATGGAAATCTGGTAAGGCAACAATGATGAGGTGTCAGTCGGGCTACTCCAATATCAAGCTAGCCACACAATTCAATGAATTGATTGCTCACATTACCATTACCATTACCTTTGTTAAATGTGACCAGGTCTGTTGATTTCACTTTGTCTTTTGTTCTATATTTGCACAAGTGTCATAGTTGCAATGTGAATATTATTGTCATTATCTGCAGAACATGCAACATGTTGCCCATTTGTTGTGTTTGACCTTTGTGGAGAATTAAGCCAGTTGCCACCCACTTTGTAAGACTGTCTCCTGCTACAATATTTTGATCCTTGGTCACCAGGTCTCTGGAGCCCAGTTTTTGTCTGGGGCTCAGCTGGTGAGGCCACAGAGCCTGATAGGCTCCAATGTGGTGCAGAATGTCGGAGGTCAAGCCATCTCTCTTAGTCCAGGTATGGATACAGGGTAACTGACATCATCTGGACCAACTGTTGATGAACCCACGATTGTTTCATCACAACTGTTGTGCATTCCATTGTATTGCATCCGTGAGAATAACTTTGAACTTGAAATACCAGATTTGTAATGTTCAGCCATGATTCATATCTCATCTGTGAGGTACAATGGGTATGGGTCCTGTCCCAGGAGTTGGGGAAGTGGGATTTTATATCTATTGTGTATTGATATCATATATACTGTACCTATCATATTTATTGTATCATTCATTGTACCTATATCATTCATGTTGTACCTACCATATCTATCGACAAAATCCGTGTTGTCAGAATTGAAGGCCTGTTTTCCCCTAGCATATTCACCCATGAGACCGTCCATCCAAACTGTTAAGTTTTACTTAGAATTGATTGCTTCACATAATGTTTTGCTGTTGCAGTGCCTGGAGGCCCATGCACGCAAACAGTTAATGAGATTATGTTTGTCAGTTCTCGAGCTGGCTAGTTGATGATCTTTGAATTCCCACAGCTATCAACGATCGACAAACCCCCACCCTGTGTGGCGCAGGTCGCCAGCTGCAGGTGCAGACTCCGAATGGGATCCAGCTGGTGCAGCTGCCAGTGCAGCAGAGCATGCAGACTATCTCAGTGCAGATCCCCATGTCAGCAGCCAATGGGCAGACAGTGCTGCAGACAGTGCAGCTGCCAGTGGCGTCCGCGGGTGGCCAGCAGATCCAGCTGATGCCGCAGATCCAGGTGAACATGGCTCGGTGCATAAAAGGAAGCAGCCAGAAGGCTCAGATTGTATGCATGTTCAGAATTTAGGGGTCACGGACTACAGTGTGATGCAATCATCCTACAATTTTGACTCTGCAGTGACAGTTTTGATCTGTACATGATATTCATGCACCATGTCTGCATCTGCTGCAAATTTGACATTTTAGGAGGCTGGCGTGATCTCAATTTAAATGTATTGTTATCTACACATCAGACAGGTAAATGGTCTGACATGTTATGTCTGACATATCATTGAAGCTGGCATGTCACATACTCTGAAATAAGCACGTCATGTGAGCAACGTCAAGAGGCCATTTCCTGTCCTCGCCGGTGACGCGGCCGCCTCCCCCCTCCGCAGATCCCGCAGTACGCGCAGATGCTGACGCCGACGGGCCAGATCCAGCAGGTGCAGGTGGTGCCGGCCCACCACCTGGCCTCGCTGCAGGCGGCAGTAGCCGCCACCCCGGCCGCCGCCAGCAGCCAGGTTGGTCGCCTCCCGTCGCGGGGCTCGAGCGCCGGCTGGCAGCCAGCCGACCGGGGTCATGGGAGTTCTCAGTAGCTGTTTGATTGAGGGACGGGTGCTGCTTGTCTGAGTGTTTGTGCCGGTGTTGGGAGTGCTCCGATGAAACCCCGCATGTCCTGGGTCAGCTGTGAACCACATGCAGGCACACCTGGAAACTATAAATTCCATGAACAGTATGGTGATTTTGGTGAGATCTATTGTATTATGCCTGCTGTGTGTCACAGCAGAGCTATACTTGACAAGGCATATGTGAGAACAATTGGGATGGCCTCCTCCCAGCATGCCATATGACCTGACCTGACCCGACCTGCCCTTGCCGTGCCGCAGCCGACCAGCCTGTCCACCACCACGTCCACGACGAGCGTGATGGGCACGGCCCAGTCGTCGGCGGCCGAGGAGGGCAAGGAGGCCGGCGCCGAGGCGGCCGGCCAGGGCCTGGCGCTGCAGCTGGCGCAGGCCGGCCTCATCGGCGGCCAGCAGACCATCACCGTACAGGGTCAGTTCGCCCGCACGCCGGCCGGCGGCCGCTGGCCAGGGGCAGGTCATGGGATGCATGTGTCACAGTCGGTGTGTAAGGGTGTAATGGTTTGCTAGGTCACCCCATGTCTGGAGATCATGCCGCGTAAGATTATTTAGCGCCATTCACTGAGAGACCTGTGAATGGCCAGAGAGATACGTGGAAAATCGGCCCATCCCATGTGTGGGAAGAACATAGTGTGAACGTTTACCTCATGCAATAGTGGCCTGTGTTGTGTAAGCTCGATCTAGCGCACGCATTTGGCCGCGCTGTTCTGCCCAGGACCTTTTCCCGGCAAGTATGGGGGTACTTACGTTTGGTGCAGTTCTACAATACCTCCTCGCCAGGGGTCAGGTCGACCTTCGCTGACCAGTTGCCAGCTGACCTGTATCTATCACGGCTGCCAGACAATGCTCCCGACCCTGGGCTCGTAACCGGGCCGGCTGGGCTCCGAGCTGGCATCCCTCCCCTAGACCAAGGAGGCGCCCGTGTTAGTGGGCATCATCCTTGTGGCGCAGCCGCGGCACTTACCACCGTGGCAGCCAAGGGAGTGAGCCTTTGTTGTCATGTCCCCTCACGTTTCCCCTTCCCCTGTTGGAGGTGGTGGGTACCCCAGGGACCAGAGGCCCCGGTACTTATTGGCATATGCAAATGCATGTTCGGGCTCTAAAACGTCATAAATGTGCTCCCAAGGCGTCGATATAGAAACTCGAGCCTATAAGGCTCTTCGAATGTAAACGCGAGGCGCTCGAGCGACGAAGAGAGGCTGGATGGGCCTCTATGATCCGATTTGGTCCCCCCCCCCCCCTGGGGGAAATCCTGGCCACACCACCGCACCGTGATCATGATAGACTGGTCGAAGCACGGAATAGGAACAATGGGAAAGTCCAACAAATATGATGTTCAGCTTTGCTATTGTGAAAATAAGTAAACCTAGCTGTAGGTCGATACGTGCGTTATGGACATACGGATGATCAGGTCACATGTCGCCGTGGAGGTTTTTGCTTGATGCAGTAAACTGACTTTTGGGACAACTGTGGCAATATGCACGCGGCATGCGATTGTCCCAGCTGACGCAACTGTGGCTGAAGCAAGCAATTGGCCAATTCCGAATTAACGGCTGTTTAAGCAAGAGACCAACTTGGAGCAAACCAGGCCACCTGTAAGTGTGTCATTAGTCAACTGCACTCCCCACCGAGCTCCCCTTTCATGCTGGCCGCCTGCCAAGGTTGCCTCGTGAAAAATCGTTGTAAACAGAGACAGAAAGAACCGTCAAGCAGGAGTCGCCCTTGCAGCTGTTGCCATGACAACCGGTGGCGTCCTTATCGAACCAGCAGCTCTCGCTGCACCGGCAGTGTTGTCGCGTGGTCGTGTGGCAGTGGATTTCAACTTGTGCTGAGAACACAGCCCCGCTACCGACGGATACACACGGCTGCATTGCCCGTGTTGCTGCCGGATGCTCGTGGCCTTCGCAAATCTGGAAAACCTGTTTGGAGCTGACAGTTGATCTGCTTCCGCACGGGAGTGGTGGGCTTTGGCCTGTTATCCATTCGGGATGGATACCGCGAACGCTATGGGCTCTATCGCCCTCTGGGGATTTTCACCAGCCGTTGACTTTGCTGTTGGAAACTCGGACACAGGCGGCTTCGAATTTTGGAATCGGGAATCCTCGGAGGCGGTCAGCGTTCTCCTCGTCGGTGCGCCGGATTTGTGCAGCGTCGTGCAGAATCTGCCGGAAGCGTTGCGACGGACGGACAGGCCTGTCAACTTTTACCTGCTGGAGAACAGCGTGGAGGTGTACGCGCGCCAGCTGCTGCTTCTCTGGCTGTTGGCCGAGCCTCCGGACAGCGTGGGCCTGCAGGAGAAGGTGTGGATGTACATGGAGATCGTGGGCAACACCCTGGTGCGACCGAGCACGGCGCAGTACATCGAGACGACGGCAAGCAAGCTGGTGGAGCTGGTGGCGGGCTCGGAGACGGTGTCGCTGCCGCTGGTCGAGCTGTCCGAGCTGCGCTACCCGCGAGCGCGACCAGCTGGCGGCCGTGTTCCAGTTCTGGCGCGGCGGCGGCGCCGAGCCGGACGTGGCGCGCATGTGGGACCTGCGCCTGCGCCAGCACCTGGCGCGGCGCTACGACGCGCGCCGCGGCGTCTTCGACTGGGACTACTTCATGCGGCTCAGGGACCGGCTGAGCGCCGAGTTCGTGCAGCCGGACGAGTACAAGCACTGGCGCGAGACGGGCGTGGCGTTCCGGAGGCCAGGCACCGAGCAGACGCGCGCCAACCGCACGCTGGTGACGGTGCGCGCGCTGGGCCGGCCGGGCGAGCGGCAGCTGCGGCGCGGCTACTGGGCCGACCTGGTCACCGGTCCGTTCATCGGGCTCGGCGTGCGCACTGACGACGCGCAGCTGCACCGCAAACAGAACGGCCGCCTGGCCGCCTCGGCCACGGCCGTGTACGCGGCCAACCTGGAGGCGCTGTGTCGCGATGTGGGCGGCCGGCTGGCCGGCGCACGCCACGTGCGCGTACACCTGCTGCCGGCCGACGGTGGCGCGCTGCTGGGCCGACGCGGCCGCTACCGGCGCCGCTTCGACGCGGCGCTGATCTCGAGCGGCATGAGCCAGCTGCTGTCGGCGCCGCTGGCCGGCTGCCTGCGGCCGGGCGCGCTGCTGCTGCTGGAAACGGCCCGCTACCTGGTCAGCGTGTCCGAGGAGCAGCAGCGCCGGCTCATCGACAGGTACCGCGAGATGGCTGACATGGCCGGCTGCCGCCCGGCAGACGCCGGCGACGGCAGTCGGCGGGACGTCGGCCAGGCGACGGCAAAGGATGCGCCGGGCGCGGCTAGAGAGACGGCAGAGGAGGCGCTGGGCGCGGCTGAGGCGACGGCGCCGCGCCAGACGGCCGGCGCTACTGAGCAGGGCTGGCCGCAAGAGAAGCAGCAGGATGGGTCGGAGGACATGCCGGGTGCCGCTGCCGCCGAGAGCGGACGCAAGCCGCTGGCGGGTGAGGCGAGGGGAGACAGCGGCGTTGAAGCGTCTCCTGAGGTGACAGATGAAGGAGAACGAAACGAGAACGCGCCGTCGTTGACAGACGCGGAAGGACAGCTCGCGCCGTCGGCGTGTGAGCCCAGGACCGCTGACCCCGCGCCAGTGGGCAGAGCCGCAGAGAAGAACCGCGGACCGGTTGGAGCCGCGGCTAGCTCCGAGGACCGGGACGGGTGCCGGCCGATTGAGGCTGACGTGCGAGGAGATGATCAGCCCACGGTGACCGCCATCGGTGCTGAGATCGGCGACCGGTCTCTCTGTGACGTGAAGGGTGGAGGGAACGGCGCCACGCCAGTAGAGGCTGGAGCAGACCGTGGAGGTAAGACTGCTGTGCTGTCCGGAGAAGACGGCAGCCCTGCGGCCGTGGCGAACGGGGGAGGAGGAGAACCGAAACATGCGGCCTGTGGCCACAAAGATCAGGGGAAAACTAACGAGTCACACGCCGAACTTGAGATAAAACACAACGTGGCTTTGTCGGACACGAGTGAAGAGCCAAGGACTGCGGCGATGGGATCGGCAGGACCCCGCGAGACGGCGACAGAACACGCTTCAGAGGAGCCGGGCGTGCAGGGCGCCGAAGACCAGACCGGTAGGCCGGACGGGCAGGAGACACCGGTGGCGGGGGAGCCCATGGAGCGGCGCTGGGTGTCTGACAAGCTTACCGGTATTCCGGAGTGGGTCACCTTTATCAGAATGGATGTCGGTAGCCATTGATTTAGTCACTTGTGGCTGCGCTGTTGTATATTTGGTGACTCAGTAGTGTGGCTGCGCCGTCTTAGTTACAGTGATCGCTTTCCGTTGTCTGTTCATGGGAAAGCTCGAGTGATACAGTGTCTATGCGTTGGAAAACTTCAGTGATATGGTGTCCTTGCCTACGTTCTTGTGTTCTGTTCTGCGCCTCTTTTTAGGTACGTATTTCGTGCGCGGATCGAAGATATGGTTGTGTTTGTAAGAAAGACGAATAAAAGCCACAGATAAAGCTTTTGCTTTTTGGTGGCAACTGGTCAGCGGATGCGTCGAGTCCCTGAGGAACGTGTTTGAATCCCTGATATACGATTTCGGTTGTGGCTGTCCTGGGGCAGTGCATAGACAGCATGTTTTCCTAGCGAACCCATGCGCTTATGTCTCACAGTTAACCGGCCTATGGTACTGACCTAAAGGAGAGAGTTTGAAGTGTGGCCGACTGTTTGTTGTTCGTATGCGAGATTATACGGTGGGGTGATCTGTGGGGCGCGCTCGTGGACCGTGGGCCTTCGTCGCCAACAACCACTGCCGTCTGTCGCTGGCGGCGGATCTCGCCGCTGCCTGTGCCGCACCCCGTCGCCATGTGCCACCGCCCGGATCACGTGTCCGGCCTGCAGCCGTGCCCCGCCCACCGCCCGCCCTCCAGCGCTGACTGCCGGCCGCTCCGGCAGGTCCGAACGGCACGCAGCAGCAGCTGGCCGTGTGGGCGCCGGGCGTGGGAGCCGCCCAGCCGGCCGCCCGCTCCCAGCCGGCCGCCAACGTGCTGCAGGTGGGCGCGCGCCGCGCGGTCCGCGCCGCTGCGGGCAGGCGGCGGCCGCGGCAGACGCTCGCTGGGCTGGCACCGCCAAGTAACCGGTTTGCTGGATGTGGCTTTGTGGGAGAGCGAGGGAAGGGCGACTGTTACGACATGGCTGCGTCATGGAGCGATGCTTATTTGGATGTGTGGGACAACTCGGCGGATTAATGTCCATTAATCTTATCGGCGTGGTCGCGATAATCAAGGGAGCGTGCACTGCAGGCGATACGATGCCGGCGTATGCGTATGTGACGCACGACCTCGCGGCGTTTGCGCGTGTTCTGGGCGGCCGTTGCCGCGCGCCTGACGCGACCCGCGTGCGACCAGGTGCCGAACCTGAACGGCCTGATGGGCGCCACGCTGGGCAGCCAGGTCAGCATCCAGAACATCCCCGGCCTGGGCCCGGTGCAGGTGATCTCGGCGCAGGGCCTGCAGCAGCTGCTGCAGCAGCCCAGCCAGACGGTGCACACGCTGCCGGGCGGCGCCCAGATCATAGGTCAGCAGGGGTCAGGTCACGGGATGAGCGGGCCGGGGACGGGGAGGGGCGGATGCGTGCTCCGGACGCGGTCGGGCCGAGAGCCTCGTACGTGCCAGCCGTGCTGGCTTCGTCTGGTGACGACGTGGGCGGACGGTGGCGGTTGTGCGACCCTGGGCGTGTTTTGGCGCTGTGCCAGCTGTGTGTCATGTCGATCGCACTTGAGGCGTTTGGGATATTTAGTAGCGTGTCTCTCAAAGGGAAATCGTATCGCACTTGCACTGTTCGTAGACTGCCAGACGAGCCCGATGCGAATTGTTTCGCACTTGCGCCGCGTGCCTAGTGCTCACACCGGCGTCATATTTTGCGGTGGGGTCGTGTTCCCCCCCCCCCCCCCCCGTTGACCGCGACTCTTCGTAAAGGCGGAGGTAAATTGCCAGCAGGGCTCCCCCCTCGCTGTGTGCCCTGACACGTCCCCCCCCCCCGCGCACGTGTCCGTCATTGCACCCGGCTGACTTTTTCGGCCCCGGCAGCGGGCGCCGCGGCTGCCGGGGCCGCGCCTGTGGTCGCCGCCCCGGAGGCCGAGGCCGGCAACAAGCTGATCCAGATGCAGATGGTGGGCGGACAGCTGGTGGCGCAGGTGCCGCCGGCGTCGCCCGACTGCAGCAGCGGCGAGGAGGGCCCCAAGACGCGGCTGCGGCGCGTCGCCTGCTCGTGTCCCAACTGCCGCGACACCGACGGCAAGTGAGTGCTCGGCGTCGCATGCTGTGCCTTGCTTCCACTGGTTGGCGAACGGTGCAGTTCACAGCCGTACTTGTATTGTATAGCATTGCAGATGTCAATTGAACTTCTACGTGACGGCGTTTCGTCAGTGAATGGGTCTCGTGCAGGATTGGCAGCGCACCTCACCCGACCGGCCCAGTGCTGACCTCAGTCTCTCCTCCCCCTCTCGCCGCCGCCACCGCCACGCAGCAAAGTGATCAACCCGGACAGCGACAAGAAGCGGGTGCACATCTGCCATATTCCCGGCTGCGGCAAGATGTACGGCAAGACATCCCACCTGCGCGCCCACCTGCGCTGGCACAGCGGCGAGCGGCCGTTCGTCTGCAGCTGGGTCTACTGCGGCAAGCGGTTCACGCGCTCAGACGAGCTGCAGGTGCGGCGATGCTGGCGGCGCAGAGGTCGATGGAGGGTGCGACGGGGCGGGAGGCGGGCGGATTGGGTGTGGAGCTGGATAAGGACCTCGAGTTGAGAGGTCGCAAATGGGGGGGGGGGGGGGGGGCTGAAGGGGCTGATAGGAGCTGGGCTGTATGGGCGCTAGCTTATCCGCGGGTTTACGATTTATGTGCGGTAATGCATTGCCTGCGCCACCTGTTCCAAAACTTGAGAAACTTCCATGTTTGTAGCGCATTTCTTGCCATGCATCGCCGTAGGTGCAATGCCAAATTCCGGAAAAGTTGGGTGACGACCCTCTCTCCTCCTCCCCCCCCCCCCCCCCCCTCATCTTGTCCAGCTCGCGCCTCATCTTGCGTGCGTGCTGCCTGTGTTTTCCAGTTTTATGCGGTGTTGGTGGTTGCAGGTGTTAAGTTACGTTCGTGTTTCCTGTTGACTTTTGATATGATGCAGGCGTCTGTTATCTCAGTAAGCTGCTTTCGGTGATCGGCTTGGGTCTGTGGTGACCTCGTGCGTTCGCTCCGCTCTGCCCGCAGAGGCACAAGCGAACACACACAGGCGAGAAGCGCTTCCAGTGTCCCGAGTGCTCCAAGCGGTTCATGCGCTCTGACCACCTGAGCAAGCACGCCAAGACGCATCTCAAGCTGAAGGCCGGCGTAAGTGCGCCGGTCTCGCCGCTCATGGCCGGTTTGGCGCAGCTTCAGACCGGCGCTAACCCCCTTGTGACCGTAGTGCAAGCGTTTGGCGCGCCATACGATCCGCGTCTGGCTGTCATGAAAGTTAAACATCCTGTCTAGATAAGGATTTGCTGGTGATACTTGCGCGGTCGCTTCGCCCGGCCAGCTGTGGGAGTGGATCTTTCCGTGGCTGAAAATGCCTCAGTCTCTCCATGTCGTCTTCGTGGTTGAGTGGTGCGGCCTGTCGCGGTAGCTTATGTTTCGCGCGTGTGCCGATAGGAGGCGGGTCAGCCGGGGTCGCCTCGGATCCTGTACACCGAGTCGGTGTTAGAGTGTGAGGACCCGGACAGCCTTGAACAGGTGAGATCCGCAGCCAGTGCCGACGGCGATCTGTCACCTGGCTGCGCAACTGCGGAATTTCTCCAGTGTTGGGGATTTCTCCTGACATGTGCGACCCCAGGCTAGCCTGTGCCAGGGTGGAAGCGCAGTATCTGTTCTGCCATATGCTGCGCAGGCTCACGGACTCGTAAGTTTCCATGTGATAACCGGCCTGATCTGCCAAATGAATGAACATCCGATTATCCGAGTCGGAGAGCAGAATACTTGGGCCTGAGTGTTGGACACTACCCTGCTGTCTGCTCGGCTGGAGTGGGGGGTTGATGGGCGTGGTGCAATGCCGCGTCCGTGGTGCCGACCCGCCGCCCCCTCCCCCCGCAGGACATCGACAGCCCGGACCCGATCGGCGACGAGAGGAAGCTGCTCATCACGATGGAGCACCAGGCCGACCAATCGCAGCTCGCCATCGGCGACGGCATGAACTCATTGGACACGGGCGCGATGACGTAGCGCGGCGCGGCGCGGCCGTCGGCGCGCGCGGTTGAGGCCCGACTGACCGCTGGTGCGCGCGGCCGCCTGTGATGATTTTACAAATGGTACGTTTTCGGACGCGATAGATTTCCACGAGATTAGATGCAGGGCTGCAATGGAGAGGTCTGAACGGCCCGTCGCCCCGCGAGCGGTGCGAGTGTGAATCTCACGGGGCGCCCTGTGCCGGTGACTGGACGGCACCGGCGTGCCGGCGGCACCGGTGTGTCGACGGCACCGTTGTGGCGTGCCCACGGGCGTCACGTGAAGCATCCGAGAGCTGCGCCCGCTCACGGTCGCCTAGAATCAACGCTCAGATTGGATTCGTTGGCGCTCTGTATACTTTTATGGGAGAACTCGCTCTTTTTATACATTTTGTACCGTAGGTTTTGACAACTCGCATGCCATCCGGGCGTGGACGTTGTTTCTACGCGTGCTGCATACAAGTACAATGCTGTGGCATGGTAGTATTTATTTTTAGGCATTATTTTGTGTTGAGCCCCACCCGTCTTGCCGCAACGAGTGTGTAACTCCTGGAGTTGACTGCGGCTACTATTCCGCTGCTTTTGTCTGCTGGCTGTGGGGGAGAGCACAATGTACAGTTGGTTTTGTCTTTCAGTAGGATGATACATGTACTGCTGACCATGGATGGCCGGTCATGTACCCTGAGACGTGCGTGGGCGCCCGCCTCTATCACGCATCCCGCTCGGGGAGCTCCGTGGTGGCTGGCGATGTTTTGGAAAACGACAAATTGTTTATTACAAATTGCCACTGAATACAGCTGTGAACAGCTTGTTTGCCGGTTCGGGTCGTGGTTAGCGGGATGTTCGTCTGCGTTTCCGGCGCGCTTTAAGCAAATCTGACAATGCAGGCTCGTTTCATTCTTGCGTTTAACGCAATGCAGTGCCGCGATGCGGCAGTTTCCTTGGTTTGTGCCTTATTGTGTGTGTTGCTCGTGAACGCATGGCTCTACAATACAAACCACGCATGCGGTTAAGTATAGGATGTCTGATAAAAACGGCCGAGGTGGAAATTACGTCTATTTTCCGCGGTAAGAACAAGGCAAGCTATTTCGTGCATGCCAAAAGAAGCCGCACGTTGTGTGGAGCGCGACTAGTGCCGCTCGCCGGTTAAGGAACCATATTCTGCGAATATCGTCGCTGGTGCCGCAGCCATGCATTCAGCGAGTTAACCCGGTGCAGAATCAACCGGTATGGGTAGACCGGCATAGTAGGAAACGGGTATGCATGTCTGATAGGAAACGGATATGTATGCCTGATAGGAAACGGCTATGCATGTTTGAAAGGAAACGGGTATGCATGTTTGAAAGGAAACGGATATGCATGTTTGAAAGGAAACGGGTGTGCATGTCTGATTGATGGAAACAAGTAGCACGTCTTATAGGAAACGGGTATGCAGGTCTGACAGAAAACGGGCATGCATGTGTGACAGGAAACGGGCATTCTCTGACAGGAAACGGGCATTCTCTGACAGGAAACGGGTATGCATGTCTGACAGGAAACGGGTATGCATGTCTGACAGGAAACGGGTATGCATGTCTGACAGGAAACGGGTATGCATGTCTGACAGGAAACGGGTATGCATGTCTGACAGGAAACGGGTATGCATGTCTGATAGGAAACGGGTACGCACGTCTGATAAGAAACGGGTATAAACGTCTGATAGGAAACGGGTACGCATGTCTGGATGGGAAACGGGTATGCATGTCTGACAGGAAACGGGTATGCATGTCTGACAGGAAACGGGTATGCATGTCTGGCAGGAAACGGGCATGCATGTCTGATAGGAAACGGGTACGCACGTCTGATAGGAAACGGGTATGCACGTCTGATAGGAAACGGGCATGCACGTCTGATAGGAAACGGGCATGCACGTTTGATAGGAAACGGGTACGCATGTCTGGATAGGGAACGGGTACGCACGTCTGATAGGAAACGGGTATGTATGTCTGACGGGAAACGGGTATGCACTGTGCACTCAAGGTCTGTGCGTTCCTGTGTTCCCGTTGCAACTCTCGGAGAGCAGGTTTTTCCCATTCGCGTGGGCACCGAATCGCTTCTAGCCATAGGAACCTTGCACGCTCTCCCGGAACGTTTCTGGTCGCTGACCTTGTTTGACCTCCGGGTTTCGTCAGCCGACGGCCGGCTCGCGTGCCGTGCCTGCCAGGCACGTGCCTCTACGCAAGCCTGCGGCCGCCTGCAGCCTGCACCTGCCCCTGGCGCCGGCCGGCCCTGCCTTTGGCGCCGTTCGCCGCGGTAAATACCAGCACCGCCGCCGCAGCGCGCCCTGACATTGTGGCCGACCGCGGTCCGTCACGTGCCGTCAGCACGCGGCCGGGCGCCGGCCGCCACCTCGCCGGTCGCCGGCTGCCACTACGTCCTCGGCCGTCGGCGCCGCCGCTGCCCGCATGAAGCACTCGTTGTACGATGTCCAGAAGAAGGCGGAGGAGGGGGAGCAGGTGCCGCCCCCTCTGCAGCCGCCGCCTCCGAGGCCCAGCAAAGCAGTGAGTTTGTGCCTGACCAGGCTGAGCCGGCTGTGGAGTTACGCGAACTCCCGAACCAGGGTTGGTCTGGGTTCGCGATATTGTTGCTGTTTGCTACAAGGGCAGTAGTTTGAAGTTTACACGTTCGCGCCCAAACTGATTGCAATCGATCTGCGTGGTGCCGTATTTGGCCGATCGCCCGTCGCAGTGTTGTGAACGCGCCAATCAGCATCCAAGTGCTTTGAAAACGCACGAGTCAACGTCCAGGTCCTTTGAGAGCGCATAAATCAGCATTCAAACCTTTGAGAATATACGAATCACCATCCAAGCCCTTTGAGAAGGCACGAATCAGCATCCGAGTCCTTTGAGAACATCAGAACCAGCGTTCAAGTCTTTTCAGAGAAGTTGTTGAGCTGTTGTGTTTCTCGCGGATGTTGCGTATGTGTTGACCTTGCCAAAAAATGTGACTGCCTCGGTTCTGAGTTAAGTGGGAGTACTCGACGCCCTCTAATGTTAGTCCTCATCATCATCATCGATGGTCGTGAATGTTCTAGGCGTCCTAGATACGAGCGCTGACCCACAGACCTTTCTCGCTCTGCCGAGCATCACCGCTGACATTCGGCAAAATGGGAAAGTTGATGCCATTGAAAACATACGACTATACCCTCGCGTTCTGAAAGCTTTCCTGAACCACATTGCTCACTGAAGTCGAAATGTACTAGTTTGGAAGCTTGTCCCGGTATTCGCGGCACGTAACATTGTATAAAATACTCCTCCGATCCTAATCAGCGCGTTTCTGAAAACTATCCCGGGACCTTCCGAACACCAAACGTCCGTTCTGACGGGGCCTCCATGTCGGCAGTGTCTGTGGGCCCTGCTGATGCTCTGCATGGTCCTCATGCTGACGCTGGCGGTTACGCTGGCCATGATCCTCGTCACCAGAGATGGTCCGCTGTCACTCTGGGAGAAGACGGCGGTGAGTGATCGCCAACCTTTCGGGCGGTTAAGACCCCTGATGTATGTCCCGGCATACGGTGCCGCCATGCGACTTTGTCGCTGCTCGCTGCCGCTGCCTGCTGACCGTTAAGGTATTATACCTTTGATGCGCCAGATGTGTCTATGCAGCGTGGTGGCTGTTTGACTTCGTCCATGCATCAATGTATTTCATGCTCAAATCTTGAGTGGAATGCAATTTATTGAAACAAATTCACATATGTGCCGCTCGCCAAGGACATAGGTCTTCGAATGCCGTTCGATTCTGGGTGAGATTACGTCAGTGGAGCATTTTACGATAAAACGTTGTCTTGACTGAGCTATAGACGTGAATATTTACGGCAAAGCATTAGAACGGTCACATGGTTATCGGCCAAGCCCTTCGGCTCCGTTTCGCTATTCGTTCTCAGGCGCCCCGATCCGCCCAATCCGCAGGTCAGTAAGTCACGGCTGTGTTTTCATGACATCAGCGTGCCTTCTTTTGAAATTCAAACACGTTTCAGAGCAAATCTGAGTCGAAGTCAGCCGCTGAATGGAACGCGAAAACCACCAAGCACTCAGCGACCCACCCTCAAGTGACAGACACCGAGGCAGGCGCGGTGGTACCGACACCTAACGGTCGTAGCACAAAACACGTCGAGAAAGAGGACGCTGCGATCGCCACGACCGAGTCGCCCTTGCGGCCGGTCATTCCGCCGCCATCCGTGAAGACGCCAACCGCGAAGGTTTGGGTCGACCGTGAAAGAAGTTATCTATGTTTATCCCCGACGACCGAAGCCCTCCTCGAGTGACAGTCTTAATAATGGCCAAACGAACACCGCTGCTCCCAAGGTGAAGAAGAAGCCAGACACTGTGGATGCGTCTGCAAACCCGAACAAAACGAAGTCAGACGATAAGGAAAAGCACCAGAAAGACCGAAAACGACGAACTGTTTGCGCAGTTTTGGCCAATTTTACCGACATGATGGCGGATGCCGGGAAGGAGGTCGGCTCAGTCCTCCGTCGCTTCTTGCTGACCTCAACGCCGGCCAGACAAGTCGTCCGTCGCAGCCAAAGGCGTCCGGGACATCCAGCAAGCCAGCAGCGCCGCCTAGCGCGGGGCCTCGCTCGCGCCCGGCTGCGGACGCCGGCACCCCCGACACCCGCCTCCCGCCCGAGTCTCAGACCCGCACGCCCCAGTCGCCGGTGGAGGGCAGATCGGAGCCACACGCCGAGCCGCGCAGTCGACGCCACAGAGCGGGTATAACCCGGGCGACGACCCACTGGCGTGCCTTGTCATGATGAACGGTATCGGTGAGCATGGAAGGTGTGCCGTGTAGTCCGTCCTGTGGCTGTCTTGCATGCGCGCCGTCAAAGTCGATGCATATTTGAGCTGATATGCTCAAATATGCATCACGTTTAGGGCTGCTCGTTTCCTGACATGTGAAATCATATGCTCGTAACCACCACTGGGACCAGGAGGGGTTTCCTGACCATGGCATGTTACCGCAATATTGGGCTATTTTCGTGCTGTGACCACATAAAACATCAGGGCTGGTTGGATCTCAGGAATGTTGATACGTGCTTGAATCCTGGTCCGGAATGTCGCTTGCCGTGTCTGTTTTAGGGTGCATACTTGAATCTGGGACCTGTTTTGGGTTTGCATTTGGGGACGTGGGCTAGATCGTTTGGTGTATCTGTACCAATGGTATTGCGTTAGGACTTTCAACCGGAAAGCTGGGGTCTAGCTTCTTTAAAGCAAACCACGTGGTGAAATGCGATGAAAGCTACATGTAGTAATTTTCCGCAATCTAATGACAATTTGCAGTTTGTACTTGTATGGAGCAATACATTCTCATAACGCAGCAGCGACCTCGTGAATCGGTGAGGACTAAAACAGCTGGTAAAAACATGGGTTTTCCTGTCATTTCAAAGGTGCTAGGGATCCATCACGAAAGAGGATTGAACGGGGCTCCGTATTCCAAACAGGAAAACGGTAGAACCCTAACAAACCTCCACAAGCAGTTGTATGCGTGAATGCTAGAATAGAAAATAGATAAGACGGAATATAGGTACGTTCTGTAGACCACATCACGATGACGAACGGACCCAAGCCATCCTGTTCACAGTGCTGATAACTACTCACGTCCTAATGCCCAAAATGTCAGAGAGAATGGCACCAGTGCTCTCGTTGGGGTGGTACCATCCGCCCCCCCCCCCCTCAGGCGCAGGTCAGAAAGGGCACGGGCTAATCCTGACCCGCTGGAGCCAGCGTGACCCATGTGACCAGTCAGTGTGACCGATGTGATCAGTCAGTGTGACCGATGTGACCAGTCAGTCTGACCGATGCGACCGGTCAGTGTGACCGATGTGACCGGTCAGTGTGACCGATGTGACCAGTCAGTCTGACCGATGCGACCGGTCAGTGTGACCGATGTGACCAGTCAGTGTGACCAGTCAGTGTGGCCGATGTGACCAGTCAGTGTGACCGATGTGACCAGTCTGACTCATGTGACCAGTCAGTCTGACCGATGTGACCAGTCAGTCTGACCCATGTGATCAGTCAGTCTGACCCATGTGACCGGTCGGTGTGACCGATGTGACCAGTCAGTCTGACCGATGTCACCAGTCAGTCTGACCGATGTGACCGGTCAGTGTGACCGATGTAACCGGCCAGTGTGACCCATGTGACCAGTCAGTGTGACCGATGTGACCAGTCAGTGTGACCGATGTGACCAGTCAGTCTGACCGATGTGACCAGTCAGTGTGACCAGTCAGTGTGACCGATGTGACCAGTCAGTGTGACCCATGTGACCAGTCAGTGTAACCGAGGTGACCACTTAGTGTGACCGATGTGACCTCGATAACTGACAACATGGCTGCTGGGTCGGGCAGGTACCGAACTGGATCTACGGTGACGGCCAGGGCACCTTCGTCCAGACATCCAGACGGACCTCGAGAGGCCGGTCTCGCACGTGGACGGTCGAGGTCCGTGCCACGCAGTGCACGCCGCTGGCGGAAGTGGCGAGCGAATTTAGGAATCGCTATTCTGCGCCCGAAGAATATGAGGGATCGTGGATGACGTAGATGAAATCGCTTGCCATGTTTGCAATGCTGTGTCAGTGCAGGGGTGAACGACGCAGTACTTGCATTGAAATCGACATCGCTGTATCTGTATGTCTGTCTGTCGCGGTCTTATAGCCCAGTGCGACCTAACCTGACCTGGCTTGGCCTCTTCAGGACGTGAACCGAAACGGCCAGCAGGGTCGCACCGTTACGGACACGGGCCCGTTCTGCTGCCGGAGCAGCGCAGCTCCACGCACACTCGTTTGGCGTTCGACGCGGCGGTCGGCGGCTGGCGCCCCGCCGCCTTCACCGAAAGCCCCGGCTGGAGCCCGCGCCTCCCCAGCCCGCGTGGTCTGCCCGCCCGAGGCGTCTTCCCTCGCAGCGCTGGCTTCCCAGGCCCGGGCTTGCCTGGTGGCGCCGGCGGTCTGCCACCAGCCCCGGACGCTTTCAGCGGCTTCGCCATCCCCAGCGGCCCGGACGGCTTCGGTGGCGCCGCCGGTGGCCTGGGGGCGGAAGCTGACGCTATCTTCGCAAACACTAGGCGGCGCCTCGAGGAGGTGCGGCGCCAGTTCCGCGGAAACGTGGGCGGCTTCACTGGGTTCCCCCGCTGGGGCCGCTGAGAAGAGGAAGGCCGCTGTAGAAGAAGAGTGCGCCTTTTGCTAAACCTGGTGCTGTGCTTGCGGCTTGAACAAATGAGCTGGACGGGAGTGTAAATCATTAATTAACTCGTTCAGACATGCAGTCTTGCGAAATTTGTAATGCTTGCGGCTTGAACAAATAAGCTGGACGGAACTGTAAATCATTAATTAACTCGTTCAGACACGCAGTCTCGCGAAATTGGTAATACTTAAGGCGCGTGGAACGTGAGCTTTGGGGCTCACAGATCTGAAGGCATGGTCAAAGTTGACTGTTATGATCCTTGCATAAACCGTACGTGGGTCTATCTTCGGAACTGCACACACTCGCCAATATGACGCATTCGGGCAGAATGTAAACGTTGACGGATTCTTGAAATAAAGGGCCCTTAAGCAACTCGTCATACCATGGACGAAACGGGATCACGAGAATATCGTGCCACCCACCGCCTTCCTCGCCTGCGTTCCTCCGCTCACGGCGCACTTAACGATAGCGATTGTGCCAGATCCTGTGCTTAGCCTAACATTTCGCCCGACCAACAACACTCAGGAGAAGACCGCCGCTTGAGGCACCGCCCTCCCTTCCGCCGTCCCTGGGCGCCGCCGGCCGCCGCGCGGCAGGACCCTGGCCCCACTTTCCGTACCATCGCGGCGTCTTCAACCCGTTTGGCCCGTCTAGCATCCCGCGGAGGATGCGCCCGCCACCTGTTACGGTAGACAACAAAAGCGTGGCGTTCCAACGGTCGGCGCGCGCTCAAAGACGCGGCGGCCGGCGCGCGCTTTGTGCGCGTGGATTCTATTTGGCGCGACCTGAATGGCGCGCGCCCGGCCGCGCCGGCCAGCACAATCCGGCCAGGAATCCGCGCGCTGCCGCCGCGGCGCGCGCAACGGTCGCGCCGCGGCAGCGCGCCGTTTTGAACGGCGCGAGAGGTGCAGGGTCAGAACGAGGAAGCACCTGTAGCGGCGGCAACGGCAGCAGATGGCAGAGCGGACGGAACAGGTCTCAAATGGATCACCGTTCGCTCGCCATGAAGCAGGGACAGGTAGGTCCCTATACATGTACTGCTGATCGCCGAATTAAAGGACGAAAGTTGCGTTGCCAAATAGCCAACATTGCTGTTGTCCCTGCAGCCCGCGTGCTTGTATTGCTCGGCATCATGGTTATTATTATTGGAGTGGTCTGGATGCCCAACTTGTCCAAGTGCCAACTTATCGAAAATTGAAGACCTCAGTAGCCCGACCGATCACGCTTTTGGACGCTGTGCGGTGGCCTGATCATGACAGTGCGCCTGCATGATTTTCTGCACATCGCGATATTGCCCAAACTTAGCCGTCACTTTGAATGATAGGTGTGTAACGAAGTATCTGCAGTGAAAGACCTTAAGGACAATAATCGTGATAGCATTACGATCAAGGAACTTATTACGGATGATAGCTGATTTCACTCAAACGAATACAAGATTTACATGAGGGACCCTATATGAGACTGTCTCTTGAACTTGACAAGAGTGAGAGCCTGAACTTATCTTGCGTTATGGTAAGTTTGATTTTGGAAGGGTCACGCTTTGTTTCGTGCTTTTTTCAGAACAGCGTACTTAATATGTATGGTACAGGTTGCAAAGTTAAAAGTTATAAGTGCCGCTAGGCAGTTTTCAGAGTTGAGAGGTTACTTTGTGGAAACGTTCGACATCATCAGTTATATTTCAACGTTCAAACGTGAAACTTTGCAACAACGTTCAGGTTGCAAAGTTTGACATAACACCTCAGCTTCACAGTCAGATCTGTTAGGCGCTCTCAGCTTACACTCCTTCACGATAGGATGGCCCAGCATGTATTGCGTCGACGTCGACCAATGTGGTGCATTTTGCTGATGTGAGGAAAAATACCCGTGGCTACAAATGAGACCAATATATACCCACACAACATCGGTGCTTTAAATCCACTCGTGGGAATGCTAGCTGCTTCAATCCGCCTGAGCACGCTTGCTGCAATCACTGTCCAGACGGCCTCTCGTCGCACTTGCTTCATGCAGCATTGCAGCCGGTCTGCACCATCAGCCACTCTTCTTGTAAAAGAGACACCATGTCTGGCAGTGTGTTCTATCCAAGAAGTTGTTTCCATTCGCGCTGCAGCCGCCCCAGCTGAACTGGCGGCATCTACCCCTAGTTAAGTCGTAGTAGTAGCGTTCGATGGCTGCCCGGCACGGTCCAACCTTGAGAGGTTCAAAGCAGCGGGGATGCTGTGCCACGGCCAGCACCACGCAGAACACCAGGAGCAGACAGAACACTCGGACCGACATGGCTGAACCTTGCACTAGCGATGACTCCTCTGCACTGGCGGCGGCCCCGGCCCCCGACCGCGCCAGCGGCCCGTCACACTGACATGACGTGGTGCGCCGCACGCTCCACCCTCCT